GAACTCGTGGCGCAAAGAAAACTGTGAAGGAAGCCTGGGAAACAGTGAAGACGATGTGGATTGGAGTGGATCAAATGAAGGAGGTGAATGTGCATAAGCTCTTGAAGGAGTTCGAGAACATCAAATTCAAAGAAGGGGAGAGTGTTGAATACTTTGGGATGAGAATCATCAATCTCGTCGCCAACATCAAATCACTCGGTGAGACCCTTGATGATACCCGTGTGGTTAAGAAATTTCTGCGTGTTGTTCCACCTCGCTTCAATCAAGTCGCCGTCTCGATCGTGATGTTTTGTGATGTCGAGAGCCTCTCGGTTGGAGATTTGGTGGGGCGCCTTACGTCTCTTCTTGAAGATCATTTTGAAGATAGAGTGGAGCGGATCAACGACAAAGCCGGTCGGCTATTGCTCGTTGAAGAAGAAGAGTGGCTTGAAAAACACAAGCACCATTTCCAAGTTAACTCTCACAAGGAGGGAGGCGGTGGAGGCAAAGTGATCAAGGAAAAGGGATGGCAACATCTCGATCGATGCAGGAGGTTCAGATTAGACCAGATGGTGTGAACCTCACCTCTGATGGTACACATGGCAAAGGGAGATGCCACAACTGTGGCACTATGGCCACCGGGTAGAAGACTACAAACGACCAAAGAAGCAAAAGAAAGAATAGAAGTGAGAGGAGGCGAATGTTGTAGTGGTGGGGTGGATCAATAGCGATGTTGATGTCGGCGTTAAACATCATCACAAGAGTGCCAATGCAAATTGTGCATCTCTTGGAGAAGACAATTAATGCCAAAGCAAAGGTGAAGATTTGTGTGGGTGCTTTGGACACGGGGCCAAGCAACCACATGATAGGCTCCCATTCAAAGATTGTCTCAACTTGATGAAACTATCGACGGCAGCATGCGTTTGGCGATGGATCATGTGTTGGGATCTATGGTCTCGGCTTAGTGGTTACGGAGGGCCGTCAGCAGGAGCATAAGGTAATGACAAATATCTATTAAATTCCAAAACTAAAAAGCAACATTGTTAGTCTTGGATATTTAAAAGAAAATGGATGCAAAGTAGTTTTGGAAAATGGGTTCCTATGTGTTCTTGGTCAGGAAAGAAAATTGTTAGTTAAGGCTCCACACACTGGCAATCGTTTGTACACAGTCAAACTTGGAATTCTGACATGATACTAGTCCCGACCGTGGGGTTTGCAGGGCTTCTATGAAAGTTCCCCTTAACGAACAAGACATGGTCGTGGAAGGTGAAAGATTCTGAATTGCTTCGGAAATGCGTTTCACTTCCATTAACCATTCCTTTGATGGTTTCGCGTTAGGGGGGGCTTCCTTAGAAGGAAGTGTAGGTTTTTTGTGCCAAAAATGTTTTGAAGCATTGCCATAATCCTCGAATTTGATAGGGAACTCCGAAGAATGAATTACTCTTTCCTTCGGTGTTCGTGGTTCGGGTGAGGGCTCATGAGTTGAATCTAGGTATAAGGAAGGTATGGGTTTGGATTTGGCTGATGAGAGCTCCTCAAAACTTGACATGACTTTTTCATGGAGGGGTTTGGTTTTTATGACGGAGGAAGTATGACTGTCTATGAGGCGCTTAAGGAATGTTACTTCCTGTGTCATAGTTTTCTGTGCAAAACAGCCTCCGACAGTCATGTCAAGGCATAGGTAAGACTCCATGTCGAGACCCGAACAAAAGACACGCAGGTAACACGCTGTTGGGTAAAAACATGTCTGGGGCAGAGTGTATTAATGCTAAAAACCTGGGCCACGCTGCACCAATAGACTCCTTCTTGTACTGCTCAAAGCCGAGGATCGCCCTTGGTAGAGAGACGATACGAGACATAGGGAAAAATGCAAGACAAAATTTGTATATAAGTTCATCCCAATCCTCATTCGTACTTTCTATGACATGAGTGTACCATTGCTTCGCCTTCCCCTTGAGAGAGAAGGGAAACAATTTCCACTTAAGAGTTTCTTGTGTCATGCCAGAGATACTCAGGCATGAACACATTTACTCAAACTCTCGTAGGTGATTACACGGGTCTTTGTTATCATTCTTGGAGAAGGGTTGTGCCCGAACGATGGCTATAAAGCCAGAATGAAGTTCACTGCCAGATGAACGGTTTAGTTTTGGGGAAACTGATGGCTCAAGGAACTCGCCCTTTGAAGCAGAAAGGTTTTGATATGAGTTGGCTTCATAATGAAAAAGAAAAAGGAATATCTATTTTGCTTTTATGAAAAGAAAAGATACAAGATACGAGGATGAACTAGGTTTGAAGAAAATACAGCAACCATTCCCCGGCAACAGCGCCAGAAATGCTTGTTGGTATTTCTTAATGCAAACAGAAATAATCCACAAGCACACGGAATTACCGTTGTAGCACTTCACCCGGAAGTATTAAGGGTATCGTATTTTCCACAGGGAACGGGTGTACTATTCTAGCTAGTTCGTCCAAGTACAACACAAGGATAGAGTTGGCAAGGGTAGAGGTGAATTCCTATGGTTTTAGGGTCTTTGGAAAGATAAACTCTACTTCTACTTGCTCACTTCGGGCACTAGATTAAACCTGGTCTGCTAGGCACCTCCGGCCTATAGCTCTACGCCGAAACCAAACATGGGGGGTTATATAGGACGGACAGGGCTGTCACCACCTCCGCCTACCCCTCAACTGTGGGGAATGAGGCAAACGGATGTAGCCTCTAGCCTAGACACCATGTCTACGCTATCGACTACTACTCTAGCGTCGATCACGGTTATCCGTCTCTATCAAGGCCCTCTACTAGAGTATCTATTACAAGAACGGACGACGAACCCGCAAGAAAATAAGTGTAAAGCTTAACTAATCAAAAGACTTTCTACCATAAGTATCACGGACACTTAGCGGACGAATCCGTTGAGGTACATGTGTTCGTCGAGGTACAAGCTCAGGGAGACTGCCGACTGGTCCGGCACTTCCCCGTACTCTCCCTCACATCTCTCCCAAATTCTCAACTCTAGCTGGCTAGGGCCTAAGCCCTTTGGAGTGATGCTCAAATTTGATGTAGCTCTCTTCCTTGGTGTGTTGTTTGAGAAGGGGGTGGAGGCCTTCTTTTATAGTGGAGAGGGGAGTGAATATGCATGGAATATTCCATGATCCTCTCATACTACCACCAAACCGACCTCCAAGTACGTTGAATCTAGACCAAACTCAGGGAACCACCTTTGGAATGTCGATAAGAGGCAGCCCACATGAGATGGGACTGTTTGGGCTGGTTGGTGGCGTGCGGCCGCACCCTGGCTGGGTCCAAACGCGCCCATCTTTGGTGGGTTGCCTCCCATGAGTTTTGTGTCTTGGCCCATGGGGATTTGGCGTGGAGTTGAGGTGATTTGCTTTGGTTATGGGCTTATTCTCCACTTGTTTGGGCCCTGATTCTTCTGGTGATTGGGCATCTCTCCTTTGGGCTTGCGTAAACTGGTATTTATGCTTTGTTCCTTTGCACATTCTTAGCTCTTTATGTGTATTTCCACGAATGTCATCCTGCAAATGATGAATCACCAAAATTCGTGGAATTGGTTTGTTATAAGTCCTAATCCTAAGTCTGGTGTTCATATGAGTTCATTTTATGTCAGTGTTGGCGGTTATTTTTAGGACTTAAGGACAGACAACATGCCATCAAAATACTGGGGAGAGGCAGTCACAACAGCAGTTTATCTGCTGAACAGATCTCCAACAAAGAGTGTGCAAGATAAAACTCAATATGAAGCATTGGCATGGCAAGAAACCATGAGTTGATCATTTGAGAACCTTTGGTTGTCTTGCTCATGTAAAGAAGATTGGGCCTGGTGTTGGGAAGCAGTCAGACAGATCCACAATAATTGTTCTGTTAGGCTATGAAGCAGGAACAAAAGGCTATCGGCTGCTAGATCCTTCCATAGAGAAATTGCATATCAGTCGAGATGTGGTGTTTGAAGAGGAGGGGGCATGGAACTGGAACAGCAGTGACAGCAATCAGTCAACTAAAACATTTACAGTTGGGTCTGCAGCTTTGTAATTCGTTTGGTCACGACGCGCACCGGCACACGCACGTACGTTTATACACTTGGCGCGCCATGGTGTTCGCGTTCGTGGCCGGCAGCAGTGGCGTGGCGACGGAGGTGCTGACAACGGCGCGGTTCGCCCGCCAGGTGCTCTCCGGGCGATGGTACATGCTGTTGGCGTGCCTGCTGACCCTGTCGGCGTCGGGCGCGACGTAAGCGTTCGGCATCTACTCCTGGGCACTCAAGTCGGCTCTGGGCTACGACCAGCGCGCCGTCGCCATGCTCACCTTCTTCAAGGACCTGGGCAGCAACGTGGGCGTCCCCGCGGGGCTGCTCAGCGAGGTGGCCCTGCCGTGGGCCGTCACTACTGGAAACTCGCATTTTTCTGTCTGTGCGAAAACACACAGAAAAATGTGAATACCGTCAGAAAAATATTTTTCTGACAGTGTACCCTCAGAAAAATACAGACGGAAATATAATGATAGAAAAATTCAATTGTTCTGTGTGTTCGCCGTCAGAAACAATTTTTCTGTCGGTCTTACATGCACAGAAAAATTGTGTTTGGCCAGAATAAAAATAAAATTTCTGTGAGGATATCTACACAGAAAAAAAGAAATAAACACATGGAAAATACGTGTATTTTTCTATCGGTCTAAGTGAACTCACAGAAAAATTCCTTTCGCGTAGATAAAAAGTAATTTTCTGTGTAGCCATCCTCACAGAAAAAAGAGTTAAACGCACAGAAAAATAATTTATTTTGAAACTGTAGCAAAAGCATATTAAAATATATATTGTCCATACAGTAATTTCATGACACATCACAACATAATAAATACATTCATAGGTGTCTAAATGTTCAGCACATTCATAGGTACATAGATGATGTCCAAATGTTCCAGCATCAATACATTCAAAACCCTCAGACTAACCAAGATTCAGCTCTTGCTAGTTCTTCATGCGCTTGTCCCTGATACTATTCAACTTTTGCTAATTCTTCATGCGCTTGTCCCTGGGAGTGACCATGGCAGTTGAGTCTGTCACATCCTGCAGATCAAGCGTTGACTGAGATCTCATGAGAGCTGAGAACTGGCTGGGTGGACGAGGTGCAAAGTGGAGAAGCAAAAACACCCATGGCATTGCTGGGCCTTACGTGTGGGCGACGGGAAGACTTGCATACCCTTTCCGACACATTAAGAATAATGATCAACAAAATGGAAGACTGATATGATTTTGAAAGATAATTTCTCATAACCAAGATAAAGCTAGTATAACAATTTAAGGGCTGAATGAGAGATTCCCAGTGCTGCTCACAATGAATAAACAGACAAATTAAGTTGCCAACCCCAAAACAAAGACAAGTAACTACATATTTTTAGTGTTGTAGATAACAAACTAAGCTAGTAGCTAACATATTCATGTGGACTAAGAACACCCAGTCTATTTGATCCTGTGCTTCGGTTATTCCATGTTGTCCCGATAACAAATTAAGCTAGTAGCTAACAAACTAAGTTGCCAACACCAAAACAAAGACAAGTAACTACTTTTAATTTTATATGATCAAGAGCATGTGCTCTAATAGACAATAGTGGTAAATAGATAATCAAATATGTCCAACAATATGCGCAAAGAGATGAATGCATTCATGTGATTCCACACACAAACCATGAAACAGTTTTTTCTTCTTTTCTTTTTTTTTGTGGCAAAATCACATAGTTTAACAAACACAACAAAGGATCACTTGCCAAAGATTACATGCATCTGCCAATCCCAAAGCTTACAACCTTACATAGACCCTATCTAACCATCAGTCAGTAAGGTCATGGAACCAGGAACAAACAAGTTATACCAGATTTCCAATAGATATTGATCTATTTGACATGCTATGCTGTAGTCGCCTTGATTCCTCTTTATGTTCGAAATCATCATCCTCATCATCAGAATCTTTATATGGAGTCATTATGTATGACTACAAAAGTTCAACAAACCACAGAGCAGAGAATTCGCAATTAGAACCTTTGCTAACACTGAAGTCAAATAACACTACCAAATGAAATCAAAGTAACCCAATTGGAGAATCTCCATCATTTTCCCCATCAAAAAATAATATGCCATCTTTGTTATCCCAGCACTTTCTAAGACTTAAGATCTCGCAAGGTTCTTTCTAAGATAAAGCTAAGTGAAGACTAGAACATACCTCCTCAATACTGTTTGGGATATTTTCCTGACAATGAGATCCAAAAATTGCAGGCCTTTCATCGGTTATCACAACCATTTCATTGTGACTGTTAGTGGCCTTTCCTCCAAGGCCTGTCATTTCATCAACTTTTACTGGGACTTTCACCGCTTCAGCCAAATTCTTCTGTCGCTCCTTATTATCCTGCAACGACTTAAATGCTTAGTAACAAATATTTATCATATTAAGGAACACTTGGTAGACATAAACAATATAGCTTCTACTCACATGAGCTTCTGGATGAGCTTCTTTGTCATTGTTGGCATGCTTTCTTTCCATAGGTCGCGTCTGTTGTTTTCGAGCTTCTTCAATGCATTTCTTTTTTCTCTCCTTTTCCCTCCTTTCCTCCTCATCCCTCTGCCTCTTCCTTGTTGCCACATCAGCACCTCTTTTCTTCTTCTGTTCCTCTTCCTGTTTTTTCTTCAGCTGCCTCAAGTGCCTTCACTCTGACATCTTTTTTCACTACAAGACAGAAACCCCATTTGTAGAGGCCTTCTGTGAGCACCACTCAACAAAAATTTCTAACTCAAGGATCAGTTGCCTACTAGATTTAGCATAATTTACTTATACTAATACTCCCTCTATCCCAAAATATAGGGTGTATTATGTTTGGAGAAAGTAAACCATACTACACTTGGACCATTAATCTCTCATAGAGTATATTACCAATTGATACAAAATCAATATCGGTATTAATGATATTCCAAGTAGGAATCTAGTGGTGCAACTCTTGTAGACTAAACATGTTCAAATTTTGAGTAATTATTGGTCAAAACTTGTGAACATTGATTCCACCAATTCCTAGTACGCACTGTATGTTCGAGATGAAATAGTGGAAGTAACAAATGAGACTTACCACATGCAGGTTGCACCTTTGGCTTTACAAGAGGTATCACTTGCCAAAGATTACATGCATCTGCCAACTACAGCAGCATTTGGTACAGCTGCACAACCTTTCCAAACTTGGAAAAGAATTCCATGAATTCATCTGTCAATTCAAATTATGTCACCAAATTCAATTTACTATGCAGGACAAAAAAACACATTTACTATGCAGAACTCACTTCATCAGGTACATTGGGATTAGCACCGTTTCTCAACAAACACTAGATGCAACGATCTAAGCCTTTATAAGCAGCTAGCGCTACTGGAGGTACAGAACAACCAGTCCCATTCACAATGACCCATCATCTTTTTTTTACTGTACCAGTGAATATAAAACTAAGCCTAAACAAAATAAAACTAAAGATGCATTCGATAGAACTCGTCAATGGTAAGAGCCTAAAGCAGTGGCCATAGCATACAAGCTTCTTAGTTCTTACACATACTCAAGTTTTCATAATACAAATGCTGCCCATAATTACTTCTAGCCTTCACAAAGCAGTACAGCTGCAAGACACAGGAAGAACTTACAAATCTACAAGTGCAAAAGAAATGACAGGCAGGTAGTGACCATCTCCAAAAATTTCACATTTGAAAGTATTACCTAAGTTTCACAGTCCAAGGCAACAAATATATGATTTGTGTGCAAAAAAGTCATGTTCTTCTACAAATAGCAATGCAAAAATCACAGAGCTCTATTGAACTGAGCTAATAGAAAAGAAACTATTGGTCATTCCAGATCCATTAGAGAGCAGTATGTCAAAAGCACAAGAACTACATATATTTCACCTGGAGCAAAAGAACTCGAGAAATGGCTCAGATTTAAACATTATCAGCATGACAACTGCTACTTAATTTCACCTGGAGCTTAATTTAATTCTCTCTCTAATGGGAATTGAACTGGCCACAGAACTGGTTGCTTGTACTGGTACAAGCCATCCTAGTTAAGCAGCAAACAGAACAAAATATCCCAAGTACCAGCTCATAAGGTGTTAAAGTGCAGAAGTTCTCTAATGGAAACTTGATTCATCACAGCCACTCAAGTGTAGTACAAAACAAAAAAAAAGTCACAAGGCATAGTTAGGGAAGAGGAGAGTAGTGCGGCACGAGACTGGGGTTCCATATCATCTTAGCTCCGCAAATATCACATATCAAAATGATTGATCAGGTTGATATATGCAAGATATTCAAGATACTGTTTTCATAGCATCTCACCTGAAAAGCAACCAGGGTAACAAAACAAACAAGTTAAAATTGTTTTTTAACTTTGCAGTAAAATCTTCTTATTACATTGCTCCCTCAAATTCAAATATAATGACATTATTTGAGTGGTCCATCCATGTATATTTCTTACATTACAGTAAATTATGTTAGTATAGTTCTACTTGTGATTTTCAAAGATGTCAAGTTACTGATAAAAGACAATGAAGAGCTCCCATTTGGATGAAACTGACAGCTCATTGCTCATATATGTTCAAGAAATATTTGATGCACTACTAATTGTGAATTATGTTAGTATAGTTCTACTTGTGATTTTCATGAATCAAAATGGCAGTGTAGTTTCTTCATACAACAAATCAGATGTGCTACTACTACTAGACCAGCTGGAACAACCCAACAATGCAACCAAGAGGTCATCTTACTGTTAATAAAATAGGAGCAGTGGAGGAAGTAGCTCCAGCAGTGAATACATACCCATGGTGGTAGTAGCTCCAACAGCTCCGGATCCGAGAGAGGGAGGGACGGCGCTGGGGAAGAAGGCCGGGGAGGGGCGGCGCCGGGGAAGAAGAAGGCCGGGGAGGGGCGGCGCTGGGGACCACCACCACCATGCCAGCACCACAAAGCCTGCCACCACGCCACCCGCCGCCTGCCACCACCAGAGCCCAGATCCGGCCGCCACCGGGCTCCACCGACCGGATCCGAGAGAGCGAGGGCCAGATCTGGGAGAGGGAGGGGCGGCGTCGGGGAAGAAGGCCGGGGAGGGGCGGTGCCGGGGACCACCACCACCATGCCAGCACCACGAAGCCCGCCGCCACGCCGCCCGCCACCACCAGATCCGGGAGAGGAAGGGGCGGCGGGAGGAGGGACCGCCCAGGAAGAAGGGAGAAGAAGGGAGGGGGCGGGGGAGGGAGGGGCGTTGGGGGCCGGGTGCCGGGGAAGAAGAAGGGAGGGGGCGCTGGGGTCCCAAAAGGAGGAAGAAAGAAGGGAGGGGAGGGGGGCTGGGGGCGGGTGCGAGGGAAGAAGAAGAAGGGAGGAGGCCTGGGGTCCGGGTACGGAGGAAGAAGAAGGGAGGGGGAGGGGGCGCTGGGGTAAGAAGAAGGGAGGGGTTGGTCGTTTGAATTTTCCATGTGTGTGTATGTTTTTTCTCTACGTTTTAAAATAGCCGACAGAATAATAACATTTTTTCTGTGCGTGCATATATTTTTTCTTTGCGTTTTTAAAGAACCGACAGAATAAGTTGCATTTTTCTGTGAGTGCTGATTTTTTCCGTGTATGTATTGTCACGCACAGAAAAAACATACAATTATTCTATGGGTTTTCATATTTTTCTGTCGGGATAATTTGAAACCAACAGAAAAATTACTTTTTCTGTGTGTACCGAAAAAAACGCACAGAAAAATTCGTCACCCATAGAACAATTCGAGTTTCCAGTAGTGCGTGCTCGCCGTCGGCGCCGCCATGAACCTTGCTGGTTACCTCATGGTCTACCTCTCCCTCGCGCCCGATCGCACTGAGCGACCGCTGCCGCCGTTGCTCTGGCTCATGTGCGCCTATGTCTGCGCAGGCGCCAACTCACAAGCGTTCACCGGCAGCGGCGCGCTGGTGACGTGCGTCAGGAAATTCCCCGAGGCCCGTGGCACCGTGCTCGGCCTACTCAAGGGCTACGTCGGACTCAGCAGCGCCATCCTCACACAAATCTACCTCGCCCTCTACGGCAGTCGCGACGCCCGGTCACTCGTCCTGTTCATCGCCTGGCTCCCCGCTATCGTTGTTAGCTTGAATAAGTTAGTTTTAACCTTGATGTAATCTCGTTGGAACTATTGTTTTTACGCTTTCAGTAGTTTGTATTAGATGGCGTAGTATTGCGGGTGGCTGGTGCTGTACCTAGCTCACGCCGTGGCCGCCACGTGGGTCTCCCCGTCGCGACGTCATGCTGCGCATGCCCACGGTCATCGATCCGGTAAAGCAGGATATCATGGAGCTCGTCATGCGGCAGGGTGGTCGGGCATCAAGCCCATGTATCCGTATATGTAATGCAATGAAAACGTCCCAGAAAAGCTGCAGTAGTTGCGCAGTCTATATCATCGTGTTCATCCACTTTCGTGTGTGTGTGTTCCAGAGTTCGTGCTCTCGCTGCGGTGACCGCGCTCCGGCGCCGCCGTTCCGCCGTTCGTTCCACGTACCAGCCGCCACAGCTGGGTTCCATCAACTGGTATCGGAGCCACGATGAATGTTCTATAGCGGCTTGATCAGCCCACCGTGATGGCTGGCACTAAAGATGTTCAAGGCGAACCCTCGAAGGCCTCCGATGAGAAGGGAGATGGGCGACATGTGGCCAAGTTCCATCACGGTGTCATCAGGCATCAAGGAGAGTTCTCTGGTATGGCCAATGCTTACTCAATCCAATTATGCGGAGTGGGAGATGTTGATGCAAATCAATTATGAGGCGATGGAGATCTAGGAAGTAATTGATCTAGGTACCAACGTCATGCGCACCCAAGATCGATAGGCTATGGGACCATTGATGCGGTCGGTGCCCAAGGAGATGTGGGGAACTCGTGGCGCAAAGAAAACTGTGAAGGAAGCCTGGGAAACAGTGAAGACGATGTGGATTGGAGTGGATCGAATGAAGGAGGTGAATGTGCATAAGCTCTTGAAGGAGTTTGTGAACATCGAATTCAAAGAAGGGGAGAGTGTTGAAGACTTTTGGATGAGAATCATCAATCTCGTCGCCTACATCAAATTACTCGGTGAGACCCTTGATGATACCCGTGTGGTTAAGAAATTTCTGCGTGTTGTTCCACCTCGCTTCAATCAAGTCGCCGTCTCGATCGAGATGATCTGTGATGTTAAGACCCTCTCGGTTGAAGATTTGGTGGGACGCCTTCGTGCTGCTGAAGATCGTTTTGAAGATAGAGTGGAGCAGATCACTGACAAAGCTGGCCGGCTACTGCTTGTTGAAGAAGAGTGGCTTGAAAAACACAAGAATCATTTCCAAGTTAACTCTCACAAGGAGGGAGGCAGTGGAGGCAGCAGTTAGGGAAAAGGGGAAGGCAACATCTTGATCTGATGCAGGCGGTTCAGGATAGAAAGGTGGTGTGAAGCTCACCTCTGAAGGTACACCGCGGTGCAAGGGGAGATACCACAATTGTGGCATCTATGGCCACTGGGCAGAA